TCCACTGCTCTCTATTGTTACCTGCCTGTCCTTGCAGTGAATTTAAACCTTTAATCCCTCAACGGTGGCCTGCTCCTTCTCATCGAAAGCTGATTCTCAGTCTATCCCACATCTCACCACCTGCTCAGCTCAGCTTTGCATTCAGTAGACACTGACATCTGAAGTGTATGGGTCTGTGTGTATATACGTACCTTACACACACACACACATACACGCATATTCGATTGTGACCAAAAAATAACTTTTAAATATTGACTGAAAGTTGGTAGCACATTTTTAAGTCATTCTCAACCCACCTGACAGTTCAGAGCTAAAACCATGGCAGTGACTTAGACCAACAGTTAACAAACTGGTTTTCAATACCAAAGAGAGATTCATGATAGTGATGTACAGCAGTACAATGTACACTAGTTTCTTTTTTATTAAGATTTTATTTATTTATGTGTGTGTGTGTGTGTGAGAGAGAGAGAGCGAGAGCGAGAGAGTGCGCACAAGCAGGGGGAGGGGCAGACAGAGAGAGAAGCAATGTTCCTGCTGAGCAAGGAGCCCTATGGATACAGGACTAGATCCCAGGACCCTGGGATTACGACCTGAGCTGAAGGCAGATGTTTAACTGACTGAGCCACCCAGGGGTCCTGTGTGTAGTGTAAAGGCCGATGCAGCGAGAGCAGCCCCACCCCGGTTGAACTGCCATCTTGCTGGAAAGCTTAAATTGACCTTGCCTGCCCCCCCCCAGGGGAACTTATTTAAAAGCAAGTCCGGGAAACCAGTCCCAGGTAACAAAGTCCAAATACAAGGGTGGGTCAGGCCAGGAGGAGGTATTCAATCAGTGGGGGCGCACACTGTCTCCCAGCTACCAAGGAGTATGGGTCCCTGCCCTTTGGGAGCCTTTTGGCGTCAATCCTAACCAAGGTGTGATAGGCTAAATCAAATGTCTACTAGGGTAAAATGCAATTCAGTTGGTCGCCTAGCATCACTGTGGAGTTTCCTGTGTGTGTTACAATCTCATTGGCCACCCTGTGTGTGGCCAGGCCCAACCACATGGCCTTTGCTCTATAAAAGTTAGTCTAGAAAGCAGGGAGGGGTCGTCCTCTCTGAAGGGGCAGCCCCCACCGGTCTGTTTGACGGTCGGTCTGATTCTTGATGCCTGGTGCGAAATAAAGCTTTGCTTGGCTTTTGCTTTGTATCAGTCTTGCTCCTTTAATCACGGACCCATTATTGGGGTACCCAATTTTGGGGGGACCCAACAGTAGACTAGTTTCTACCAGCAAAGTAAAGCTCAGAGCTTAAAAACAGGTTATAAGGAACATTCATGAAATGTTCAGTGATATTGTATGAAGGTTAAAACCCCCAAAACCTTACATGTTAGTCCCTTCTTTCAAGGGCCTAATCCAACCGCAAATCCAAAATATACTTTTTAAAAAGAAAGACAATTTTAAAAGCTTTAAATACTCAGAAAACATTAATACAAAGAGGTGAACTTTCAAGCGCAAAGATTCAAACAATGACCAAAGACTTTTATTTAAATTATCAGGCTAATGTGGGCTAAGAGCAAGTTTTCCCTTGAATTATCTAGCAAATTATACAATATTATCTTCTGACTGCATATTCCTAGCATGTCAATCAGGATGACCTTAGTTTCTATACCACAGATTTCAATTTTCTCTTATTATATCCTCCACTCAAACCTCAACACCACCCCTGAGGACAGGAGCCTCTCCCCAGGAAAAGGTGGGTTCACTCTGGCTCAGACACCTCACTCCCGTGTTCTCAGACCTTAGTTCAAACCACCTGCAGCACCAAACATGGTGATTCCTGGCCCAATACCCGGAGACCTGATTTAGTGGGTCTGGGATGGAGGCCAGGAAAACAAACTTTTAACTTACACATACCCACCCTTTAAGTAATTAATTCTCTTGCAGATGGTCTTAGGATACACACTAACAAACACTGTCTCCTCGCCTCACTGGAGAAGCTGGCTGTGGAAAGCAAGATGGAGTCACTCACGTCAAGCAGGGGCCTGTGTCAAGCGATGACCCAAGTACTTAAGGGTACTGCAGCTAAGAGATAGCACTGAGACCAGTAGCAGCTGACACCCCAGAACTGATAACAAGCAGAAGCAGAAGATGTCTGCAAGGGCCCAAGACTGATTAAATCACTCTGAAAAGGGAGGATTTTTGCAGCGAACTGTCAGACTCCTCAGACGTGACCCCTGTACGTCTGACCACTTTAAATAGGCAGCTGCCGCCCAAGGCTCTGCCTGATTGATCTCTGAGCAGGGCTGAGATCGTTCACGGCTTGAACCTCATAAGCAGTAAGTGGGGAGAGCAGACCCGGCCCGGAGAGGGCTTATCTCTACTGTGCGCCCACAGGCAGACTTCACGTTTGGTTTGTTAACTTCTACCCATTCTGTTATCTTGTTTGTTGTGTGCCGTGTGAGAGGCCAAGTTTATCATATCGTGACATGTCCTTGAGCTTGGAATCCTGAACCTGCTTTATAATTATGTTAAGCCTGCTTTATGACTGAATAAAGCTGACATTGCAGAAAGACACAACTCTGTGTGTGCACCTCCACAGTGTGCTTGGGACACCAGTCACTGTTAGTAACACTGGCTTTTGGAAACTTCCTTGCTTACAAAAAGTTGTCCTTTGCCATATGGACCATATGGATACATTTACTGAGTCCCAATCATCTGTAAGGCAGTGTGTCAAGGACTGTGGCAGATAAAATAATGAACAAAACGCATTCCTAACTCTCACAAATCCGGCAGGAAAAATAAATGTTTACAAGTTAATTAAAATAGAATGGAATATGTGTCATGGCAGGAATAGAAATTAAACCCTAAGCACTACCATTCTCTGCCAGCATCTTGTACCCATACGTCTTTATGATTACACATGATGACACAGCATTTTCCGTGCCCTCGCTGTCCACGAGACTGTATGTTCAAGGGCTGAGATCATGCCTTGCTCACTCCTGAGTTGTTAGTAACTGATAAGTAATAAATGCTGGGTTGAAGAGTCATTTAATCAAGACATTCTTCATTACAACTTGGCCCAGATTGTCAGAAACTTCACATTAGAATCTGGCTGCTCATTTAGGAAGTCAGTTCCTTGAAACCTAACCATGTAATTTCACATTTGGAGGGAACTTAAGAAAATGTGGTTCAGCATGTCACTAAATTTGGTGTGCAGATCATTGGTGGTACTCAAGGAAGATAGCTTCTAGAGTGTTTATGGGTGATATATGAAAAAAAATTTTTAATTTCAATAGGAGGCATATCTGTGTGTGTATAGAAAATATCTAGAACAAAGCAGTACTTTTCATAGATTAATGCTTAAAACAGTGCTTCATTTATTTCAAAAAGTAAATGTAGAACAGGTGAAACTTTTATGTTTTTAGAAATCCTAGTGGTTGCCCTTGGTATGTGAGTAAGAGGCATGAAGGGGCTTCTGGGGTACAGGAAATGTTTCTTTAGCTGGGTGCTGGCTGCACAGGGACGGTCAGTTATAAAGCTGTATTATGGCAACTGCTCTTTGCTGCATGTACAGTATATTTCAACCCAAAAGTACTCTTTTAAGTGGATGTAAATAGTAAATAAATGATAGACATGGACAGTGGAAAAATCCTGAAGGTGGAAAAGGAAAGGTAAATTTGGGACACACAGACTCAAATTCCATTGTGTAAATGAGAAAAAAACTCGAGTGCCACAAATTAGCTGCTTGGTCTTGAGCAGGGGCTGCCCTCCACCCAATCTTCTGTCCCATTCTCCCTTCTCCCCCCACCTCATGTCCTCAGTTCCAGCAGATATGCGCCCTGTCTCCACGATGGTTTTATCAGCTGCTCCCCGCTCAGATGCCCCTGCCAAATCCAACTCTTCCAAGGGAGTTGCCTTCCCCACTTGGCTGTTTTTTACCATTCCTCTAAGCCCTTCGCCATATGCTGCCTTGTAACTAAATTGTAAGCCACGGAAAGAAACGGATTGATCCTACAGCATTTAACAATTCCTTCTCTTGGGCAGGTTACTTTTCTGGGTCTCATTTTCAACACCTGTAGATCTGGGTGGGGGTTGGGGGGGCGGTGTCAGGATTATGATCTGGGGGTTTGGAGTCAACAACCGCGGGTATCCCTCCCAGTTCTACCACTTACTGCCGCCGAACTTTGGGCACGTTTCATCGTCGTCTTGTGCCTTAGCCGCTTCAACTGCAAAATCGGGGTTAGGATACGCCTAACTTTTAGGGTTGTGGGTGAAGGGAAACAAGATGATCCGTGGGGAGTGCTGGAGACAGTGTTTGGTAACCGTTAGCCATTATCACCATTGTCTGCAACGTGGAGAAAATACAAGCGCCTTTCCCGCCGGAGTCATTGAAAGGACAGCGTGGGCTGGCGCTGTCAGAAATGCGCCTAAGACTCAAGAGGGGGAAAGACTCAAGGGAGAGAAGACGGGGCGGGGGGAGACAGGAAGATCTGATGAGTCTTGAAGGCGGAGGGTGTGTGGGCAAGGGGGGACACGCGCCCCACCCAAGACCTAGCGAGTCCGAATCCCCAGTTAAAAAGGCCCAAGTTGCTCCTCGGCGCTTAAGCTCCTTTGCTCTGGGTGTCCGTCCCCCTGCCCCCGGGGTCCCGGCTCCCTGAGAGGTGAAGGTGAATTCCCGGAGGAAACACGGTGCTTGGAACAAGGGCGCATCAACAGCCCGCTCGCTCCGGGGCCGGAGACGTCTTCGGGCAGGTCCTGCGGCCGGCACGCTCCTCCTTCCGCCCCCTACCTCTCAGAAAGACACCGGCCGGGCCGCCCCTTCGGGGAGCAAACTTGGGGAGGCCGCTCCGCGCAGGCCGCGGGACACCCCCGGCGCCTCTCGGCTCCCTGCGTGGCGCGCGTCGGCCGAGGCCTGGGCCTCCGGGGCGGCGCCGCCCGTCGGGAGGGCGCTTCCCGGTCACCGCACGCCCCAGGCCCGCCCGGCCCCGCGCTCTGGGGCCGTGCCTTTGCCCTCGCTCGTACCTGGCAATGGGATGCCAGGGCGGCTGCGGCTGCTGACTTCCGAAGGGGAGCGGGCGGCCGCCTTCAACTTCTTGCTCTTCGCGCAGCCCATGGCGCTCAGGGCCCGGTGGGTGTTCCCGGCTGACGGCCACCGCAGCCGAGCGGAGGCCGCGCGCCCCCTGCCGGCGGTTAGCGGGACGGCGGGGCGGGGCGGGCGGTGGGCGGGGCGGCGGGCAGCCACGCCCTCACGCCCACGCCTCCTCTTTCAAGCAGGTGGATTTTTTTCACATTAAAATGCACTCAGTAGGGGCACATGGGTGGCTCAGTGGGTTAAAGCCTCTGCCTTCTGCTCAGGTCATGATTCCAGGGTCCTGGGATCGAGCCCCGCAGCTCAGGTCATGATTCCAGGGTCCTGGGATCGAGCCCCGCATTGGGCTCTCTGCTCAGCAGGGAGCCTGCTTCCTCCTCTCTCTCTGTCTGCCTCTCTGCCTACTTGTGACCTCTGCCTGTCAAATAAACGAATAAAATCTTTTAAAAAAATAAATAAAATAAAATACGCTTGCTAAAGATAAGTAGGAAAATGTAAAGTGGAAAGAAGTCGGGAAAAGGCATTCTCCACCATCTTATCTTCCAAATTACTGTTGCCGAATATACTATTTCTTTCCAGTTTTTCTGCCCTCAATTCTTAGTTTTGCACCCAGGTTTTCACTTAATACTAGCATTTTCTATTCATAGTCCTGTAAGCCCTGCATCTAACTTCCTGGCTTCCACTCTCATCTCAGGATTTGCCAGTGGATTAGATTGACAATGACCATTTTATTCCGAAGAATTTGTTTATTGAGAGAGAGAGAGAGAGAGTGCCCATGAGACTGGGGTGAGGGAGAGGGAGAGAGAGAATCTCAAGCAGACTCCCGGCTGAGCACCTAGCCCACCCCTGGCTCGATCTTGACCCTGAAATCATGACCAGAAGGAAAGTCAAGTGTCCGTCACTCAACTGACTGAGCCACCAAGGTGCCCCGATCACTTTATTTTAAACGAAGCTTGCTCACCCCACCCTCACCTCTCCTGCACTACGTACCATACTTTCCTTTTATATGGCACTAAGATCCTTCTAACTTACCCTGTTCTCTGTCTCCTGCTCTCACTTCCCTCCTCCCACCAGAATAACATCTTGGCATTTTGTTTCCCTTTTGCGTGTCGTAAAAGCTTAGAACAGTGACTGAGATACTGTAGGAATTGAATATTGAGGTGAAGAAGGAAGGAAACATTATCCCAAGGGGCACCTGGGTGGCTCAGTCGGTTAAGTGCCTGCCTTCAGCTCAGGTCAGGATCCCAGAGTCCTGGGATCAAGCCCCACATCAGGCTCCCTGCTCAGCGGGAAGCCTGCTTCTCCCTCTCCCACTCCCCCTGCTTGTGTTCCCTCTCACTCGTTGTCTCTCTCTCTGTGTAAAATAAATAAATAAAATCTTTTTTAAAAAGTCCTCTCAATAGGGGCGCCTGGGTGGCTCAGTGGGTTGAGCCTCTGCCTTCAGCTCAGGTCGTGATCCCAGGGTCCTGGGATCGAGCCCCGCGTTGGGCTCTCTGCTCGGCGGGGAGCCTGCTTCCTCCTCTCTCTCTCTCTCTGCCTCTCTGCCTCCTTGTGATCTCTGCCTGTCAAATAAATAAATAAAATCTTTAAAAAAAAAAGTTTAATAAAAAAAAAAAGTCCTCTCAATAGAGCTACTATATTAGGCTTACCTTGTCTTCTATTGATGGACATTTGATTTGTTTCTTATTTTTAAATGTTAGGAATAAGACTATGGTGAAGGGCTCCTGGGTGGCTCAGTTGGTTAAGCAATGGCCTTTGGCTCAGGTCATGATTCTGGAGGCCTGGGATCGAGTCCCACATCAGGCTCCTTGCTCGGTGGGGATTCTGCTTCTCCCTCTGACCTCTCCCCTTTCATGCTCTCTCTCTCACATTCTCCCTCCCTCAAATAGATAAATACATAAAATCTTTTTTAAAAAAAGACTAGAGTGAACATCTTTATGTTTAGAGCTGTAAGGCTCTCCTTACACATTGCCATATTGCTTTCCAAAATGGGGGCCCCCATGTGTACTCCCACCAGTCCGGAATGAAAGTTCCATGCTACCCAAGAGTGATTTTTAACACCCAAGCCACATTGAGCCCCATCAGATGGGGTCACTGTTCTCAGGGCAGTGCTTGGTTTTTCCTTCTCTTGGTGAATTAACATATGTGAAGCATCCAACCCATATCCGGCTGTGTCCTAGGGTTACAGGGCGTCTAAAGCAAGTTTCCTGCTCTTGAGGAACTTCCATCCCAGCTGAGATTTAGTGACCTTGTCTGTTCACCAGATGTGTGGCCGTGATGCAGGCCTCTGTGTTCATCTGAATTTGTGGGCAAGCTTATTTCCTGCTTTTCTTGGGAGCAGCCCTGAGTCAAATGCTCTTGGAAGAGCATTTGGGTGTTTATTTGCTTAAATACAGAAAGCAAAGGCTGAGCAAAAACCTTTTAAACACAGACACCGCACAAAGCCAAGGTGAAGTTGAACAGTCTCATTCAGGCATTTGCAATCTGTTAGGATGGTAAGTAATCTAACTAAGGCAGGAACTTTTAAAGGCAAAGAAAAGTTCCCTACCTCTGTGAGCCTGGTCTGTAATTCCTTTATTTGGCCGGAATGATTATTTCAGATATATATTTTTTTAACATGCTGTTCAACTTATTGCTAAAATAACTACGTATTTTGTCAGCAAAATCTCAGTTGTGGTGTCTTTTCTTTTTCCCCATTTAAAGCACACATGAGACAAAGATGATGGCTTTTCTTTTTTTTTTTTTTTTAATAGCTAGGCAAGGGTAGCTGAGAGTCATGTGCTTGCCCGTGTCATCTTACCATATATCAACAATTTGTTGGACATTGAAGAGGAGCTAGGCACCTGCTTACAGCTTTTCTCAAATCATCTCATGTTTTCTACACAGGAGCCCTATGTGGCAGGGACGATCATTATTCCTGTTTTACAGCAAGAATCCTGAGGCTGGTGGGTTAATTGCCCAGATTCCCAGAGCCTGATATACAAACCCAAATCTCCTTATTCCAAGGCCTCTCTGCTCTTAACCACTAGCTTATGTAATCATTATGACACTGCAATCCACTAATCACTATACATGGAAGGACTCGCCTTTGGGAGATGTTCTGAGTGTTGATTTAATTATATACGGTCTGTTCAAAGCACATCAAAAGAAAGGGTATCTCTTTTTCACCCAGTAATAGTCAATGTTCAGTCCTCGGCTTATCTGACCTGTCCATCCCATGTGACCCCCATTTATCATTGCTCTCCTGGGAAGAGGTGGCTTCTAGGATACCATGCTCTCCCATTTCCTCCTCTTTCTGACTCCCCCTGTGGGTCTTCTTTGCTGGTTCCTTCCCAATCTCCCTGGTACTTGGTATGTAAGTGCCCCAGGGCTCGGTCCTTAAACTTCGTCTGCCCTCCTCCCCCATCCTCAATCTGCATTTGCTCCCTCCATGACTTCATCCAAAGTCCAGAGCGTTCTGGGCCATCTGCCAAATTTGCATCTCCTGCCTTTACTATCATTGAGATGCACCTGAGCGTCTAATAAACCTCTCAGACCTAAAGTGTCCGAAGATGTGCTCCCCTCCCCAAACCTGTATGTCTCTTGGTCTTCCCTGCTCAATAAAAGGCAACTCTGTTCTTCCAGGAGCTTGGATCGAGCCGCCTGCTGTTATCCTGGACCCCTTTCTCACATACGCCACGTTCAGTTTGCCAGAAAACACTGTCCATTCTACCTTCAAGTGATTATTTCAAAATAAACAAGCAACTCTCCCCAAAGAACAAACAAAAAATCCCTCTAACTACCAGTTATTAGGAAACCGAGGACAAAGGAACAAGTTAAACAATGCATAGAGATGATGTGATCAGCAATATCCACAATGTACCGATTTCATCAACAAATAATGACAAAAGAAGAAAAAGAAGAAGTGGGAAATTATCATTTCTGAAAGACTTAGACTATGTGAGGTATTAAGAGGAGTCAAACTCATAAAGACAGAGAGTAGGGTGGTGGTTGCCAGGGGCCATGGGAGGGGGAATTAGTGTTTAATGGAGATAAAGTTGCAGTTTGGGAAGATGATAAAGTTCTGGAGGTGGACAGTGGTTACCCAACAGTGTGAATGTACTTCATGTCACTGAACTGTACAATTTAAAGTTTTCCAAATGGTAAATTTCTCATGTTATGTATATTTTAGTATGAGGCACATGTAGACTTTGGAGCCCTATTTGAACAAATCAATTGTAAAAACCTTTATGTGTATAAAATACAGACTAGGTACTTACATACTGTCAGTGTTTTAATTGTGATTCTGTTATTGTAGCAATTTTTTCAAAAGTTCTTATCTTTTAGAGAAATACTTTGAAATATTTACAACTGAAATTATGTATCTGGGGTTTTCTTTAAAATAATCCCAGGCATGAAGTGCCCTGTTTAGCCTCCGACTCTTGATTCCGGATCAGGTCATGATCTCAGGGTCGTGAGATTGCGCCCCAAGTCATGCTCCACAGTCAGCATGGCGTGTGCTGGAGATTCTCTTTCCTTGCTTCTCCCTCTGCCCCTCCCCCTGCTCGAGCGTGCACTCTAAATAAATAAAAAAAATATTTTTTAAAGAGTCACTAAAATGAAATAATCTAGTGTATTGGGTAGCAACATAGCGAAAACACCGTTGGTCAGGTGTGCTTGGTTGAAGCTGGCTGATGGGGACATGGGGATTCCCTCCACATTGCCTCTGATTTGTATGTTTGTAATTTCTCATAATAAAAAGGTTTTGAAAAATATTTTTTGCAAAGGTATTTTTAAAAATCCAAAAATTGATTACGTCTCATCTGGATTATCACAACAGCCTCCTAATGGTCTCCCGGCTTCTGCCCTGCCTCACCCCCTCCTCCTGCTATTGCAACAGGCCAACCAGAAGCATCGTTTTAAAATCACGTCATTCAGGGCGCCTGGGTGGCTCAGTGGGTTAAGCGTCTGCCTTCTACCAAGGTCATGATCCCAGAGTCCTGGGATCAAGTCCCGCATCGGGCTATCTGCTTGGCTGGGAGCCTGCTTCCTCCT